GATACCCTGGATACCCTGGAATGCTTTTCTCTGGCCGTTGATTCAAGAGGAGGACGGGGAGGCCTAGAGCGAATCCATGCTTCCGGAATGCGCAGTGCATTTTGAACAGGCGGCCGGTAACCAAGCTGCACCCCGGGGCAAGTTTCAAAGACCCTGCTTGAGTCCTGCAAGCCATTAAAAACACGATGAAGCCGCAGGAAACTTCGATGCTGTGTGAGACTGTGAGACCAGGTAGGTCTGTCTGTCCAAGTCCATCCACATGTCTCCAGAACAACAGTGTCACGAAGCCCCTACATCAGCAGCATCCGGGTGATGAATGGAGCTTTTTCGCGATGAGCTCCAGTACTGTGCATCCCTGAAAGCATTGGTCGTAGAATGCCGGTATTCTGACCCTGGAACACAAGGCGGCCGGTGTACACAACGATGTGGCGCAGCTTGTACCGACTCCCCACTGGCAAGTAACAAAGAACCTCTGGCTCCTTGACAACGGAGCACATATACCTGGAGATCCGAAATTGAAACACCAGTGGCATCTTCACCAGCCTGCTCAGCATCGATGAAAGCCACGCGCTTGCGATTGCCGTGCTTCTGCACCTCTATGACGTTGCTTAACAAGACACCCTGTGTGGAGAAATCTTTGCAAGCAAAGGTGTGTAACTATGATAACACTGTCATTAAATTGCCAAAGGAAACAAGCATATCAGCGCTTCAGAAATCGACTTTCTATTGCCGACTGATGAAGACAGCTTCAGACAACAGCGTAAATCCCACGCACTATCAGTCACTATCATGCGGCAATGCATGCCATGTTATTCCCTACACAATCCTTCACACGAACACATCACCAGATTCAGTCCCACCTGGTACGCGGAAGACAGTGCAAGGGTTGTCTTGCCACTTTGCTCCGGGCCGAAGACCTCAACAATCCTTGAGAGCAGCATCGAAGTGATCAAGACAGCGCCCGTGGTTCGCTTGCATCCCCGTTGTGGCAAGGTCCAGGCATGAGGGCTGGAGGCTCCTTGTCATGACGTAAGACACCCCCAGGAACAAGCATAAGCAGACTATTGGTTTCGGCTGCAGCGACGAAGCGCCATCTCACCGCTAATTCATCAACGTGAATAATCCCAGCATCCGACCGTAAGGTAAGCCGCCACCCAGCTTCATGTCCAGCGTAAGGGCACCTTCAGGCTGAACTGCGTCGTTTGAGGGTCTGCTCCGTAAATTTCGGGCCTGCAGCATGCGTGCGATGTACGGACTTTAGCAACTTCAGTGGCTACATACTTCATATGAAGATTATTTATAATCCTCATAATTTTCTATAGCTTTTCTAGCTAGGTTCAGCGACTCTGGAGCAGCTGCGCTCGGCCTGTAGAGAAAGTTGGCACATCCGCCGTCATCTTGTTCATATCTCGGATTCCGCAGGGCTGAGCTTCCCCAGGCTGGGATTGGGAGAGTCTCGCTCGTCGTAGTTTGCAGGTGCCCTTAAACGATGCAGGAGAGGGCTTCATTCGGTTTCAGAAGGCTCTCTTTCCAAGCAGATAGTCCACAGTTCAGCGGCTTCACAACAGCCACGCATGGATGGTAGTGACCGAGGCCACGGCCGATGATGGAGCCTTCCCCATACTTGGAGGCGAATTTCTGCAAGTTCACAGTCGGACACGGCAATCACACACACAGGTGCGGCACATCCACCCACATTCACAACTACTGAAAAAGCGGTGAAGGAAGGCAGAGGCAGAGAGAGACGAGCGAGAGAGAGAGAGAGAGCGAGAATGTCTGTGCGTGTGTGTGTGCATGTTGGTATGTGTTGGTGATTGTTGGTGTGTGTGTGTGTGTATGTATATAAGTGCAAGTCAGTGTGCGTATGTGTGTGCGCGCGTGGTTCGTGCGAGCGCGCTGGCGTGCGTGCGTGCCTCTCGTTGCCGGCTGTTTTCAGACCGAAACCACGACCCCCGAACTGAAATGCTGCTGTCCTGGCCTTCAAGAAGGCAGCATATTTGGCAGCATCCCGCGCCGAAGGAGCAGGTCTGTCGCGGTAGTAGGGCTGTCGATAGTAGGAACTGTAGAGTTAGCAGCCGTTAGCATTCATCGTCATGGTGGTAGTAGCAGTAGCAGCAACAGTGGTAGCCAGTCGGTGAGAGGTCGGAATAACCCCGCAATGCCTGTCATACCCGCATCTCCGAGAAGGGTTCAGAGGCTTCGGGAACCAGTCACTCTCTTTGCTTTCTTGGGCTGTCCCGTCATCAACTCCTATAAAGATCTTGGTTTGGAATCCAAGTAATCAATCATCTGCTACGGGTGTAGGGTTTGCCGAAAGTGTGAACATATGCGGATGTTGCTGTTTACGACCAAAAATGAAACCATGTTTCGCAGTCATACAAGCACAA